AATATAATATTAGCATTTACTCTTTTTTGTACTGTAATATTGATATATAATATAATGCATATTGTTTATTTAGTAAATTCTAGTAGTTTAGAGATTTTGATTTTTTTTGTAAAATTTAAAAGAATAATTAAATAAATGTTACTACACCCAAAAGTTTGTTTTTTCAGTGCAGGCTGGCAAAAACTTCTCCGCATCAAGGCAAATTCAAGATGGCTGACTCATCTTACCTGAGGGAGAGATAAGACCCACCCACCAGAACACTACTGTATGGTTCCTAAACCTTTTGAGCGTTCCACACAAATTAGCTATAAAATATTGAGCCCTATTCAGTTAAAGTGGCATAAATCTCAACAGAGCTCAAAACTTTATAGTTTGGTCAACTCCATAACGACATTTGACTGTTGTGACCTTATTAGTTATGAGCTAGTACAACTGTTTGGGATTACAGTGGGTGAAAACCTCAGGCACAAGACATTATCGAGGTAAAAATTAAAAGACATAATTCTACCATGAGACTTGCAAGAAAAGGCCAAACCCTCAGTGAAGCCGAGGATGCAAGTTTAGCAAACACTCTGCTCTGATGCATGTAGTGAGTAAAAGAAAAAAAATGCATACAAACACTAAAAACGGAGCTCCTTGATCCACCAGAAGCAACAAACCAAACTCTCTCAGGAGCTTTACTCACCTCTCTCTGTTACTAATTCTCCTCTCCTCAGCCCTTACTCACCCTGCCTCCCCCTCCATGTAGAGCTCGGCCAGCCAAACGGAGCCAAGATCCTCCTGTCCTCTTTCATACTCCACTTCCTCCTCCTCCTCTTCTCTCAGCCACACCGGGATGGCGTCGTGTTTAAGCCTGGATCCGTCCTTTCTAACTGATCTCAGACCAGCGCTCGCTGAGTCTTTGGGTTTACTGTTGATCGCTTTAGATGAAGCGACCGAATCAGCAGGTCGAGTTGAAACTAAACGGGCCTCGGTGTTGGGTGAGATCGCTGCTGCAGGATCAGATTTGTGACTTTCGTCCTGCAGCCGCTCATCTTCAACAATGTCATCCAACTCTGCCTCCCTGAGCGGAGGCCAGTTTGATTGGCTGCTTGTCTCTTTCTGGTTGATCTGAGAAAATGAAAGATAAGTTGGAGTCTGTTTTTTCCAAATAGGTTCTACAGTCCACTCCTCCTCTTCCTTTCCTTTTATTTTGCTTTCTTTCTTTTCTTTTTGCTTATCTGTCTCATGAATTTTCTCCCTTTGTTGCTTTACTTCTGCCTTTTCCTCCTGGGTTTTCTCCATCCTCTTACTTTCCTCTTCCCTCTCCAGCTCCTCTCTGTGTTTCTTCTCTGCCTCTATTCTTTCTAACTTTTCTTTCTGGCTCTCTATTTCTTTGTCTTTGTCCAGCCTTTCTCTCTCTTTCTTCTCTGCTTCTTCCCTTTCCACCCTATATTTCTCCTTTTTCTCTGCCTCATCCCGTTCAGTCCTTTCTATCTCTTCCTTTTCCAGCCTTTCTTTCTCTTTCTTCTCTGCCTCTTCTCTCTCCTTTCTCAGCATCTCCTGCTCTCTTCCTTTCTCCTGTTCAAAGGCAGCTAGTCTTAGACTTGCCACCAAACTCAGTCCTTGTGTCTTGTCTGTTTTTGCAAACACTTGGGTTTTAGAAACCTCCTGTTCTGTTTGACTTTCTGCTGAGTCAGAGAAAACTTTGGGAGGTGGAACGTCCACGTCAGTGGTGCTCAGAGGCTCATCGACTGCCTCAGAGGAGGACAGGGTCTCTGTATCTACTTCATGGGCTTCGTTATCTGGAAAATGGTCTGCAGAAGGATGACCAGCTTCACTTGATCCACTTGTGTGCAGAACAGAGACAACCGTCTCAAAGCTAAATATGACGAACAGAAAACAAAGAACTGTGAGACAGAGCTCCGCCTAAAACATCCTGCAAAACCACAACCAAAACCTGCAGAGAGCCAGTCATCATGCTTGGTTTCCCTCATAGACTTATTGGTGCAAATCCAAAAGGGTTTGCAAAAAGACTCAAAAGGAAACATGTTTTTTAAATATAAACAGAAGGAGCCACACTGTGCTGTGTTCTAACTCGTGCAAGACATCCTGACACAGTTAAAAGCATGAAATACACTTTATGAACCATGCAGCTAAGAGTCCACGTCAGGCCAGAGGGAGATTTGTAGGATTAAAGCAAGACAAATTCTCTGCAGCTCACATGAACGCCACATGTTCTGAGCAGATTTATAACCAAAAACAACCAACACCAGCCACTGGCAACAAAACAACGGTGAAGTCTGGATCTGAAAGTCAACGAGGAGGACTGCAGCCATAGTTTTGCTTGCAATAAAAAGAGGTCAAATATTTTTTCTGCATAAAGAGAAACATGATCATTGTTGTGCAAAAGACCAGAAAAAAGTAAAGAACTCACTTCTGATCCTGACAACGTTTTTGTGTGGACAAAAAAAAGAGAATTTTTCAAAACATAGGTGCTGTTGATTATCAGGATGGGAGGAAAAAGGTTACAAAAGCATTCCTGAAGAGTTCACAAATCCACAATTAGACTGATATTTGTGTAAAAGAAGAAAGAGACGTTGGTTCGACCATAAAAAAATCACTTCTATTATCAAAGCACTAACAGCACATCCTCCTGTTTTCCACCAAACCAGTGTGTCAGCCAACATGGTCAGGTGACAAAGTACCCAGCTGTCTGACTTAAAGAGTGACAAAACAATTCAAGATGCTATATACAAACGAAATTAAAGATTTTGTTAAAAAGAGGAATAAAAAAGCTATTTTTTTTCTTTGTGGAGAACCTTGATCTTACCTCCATTAGCTAGGCTGTTGTGTAAATGGTTTATCTCACATGGACCTTGTGAATGCTTCCCTACATTTGGACAATCCCAGGCTTTCTATCTGTTTTTTTTATTTGAGCAAAGGAAAGTACAAACTCTCAGTACTTTTTTGAGGAATGTTGTATTCATGCATTTTTGTGCAACTAAATAATGAACCTATATAAGTTGGATGTTAGTCATCTCTTGTGTTTGGTGTTCATGTTTTGATCCTATAATCCTGTTGAAGTAGTTTTAAAGAAAAGTGCAATTTGTTTAAAGG